GTTGTAACTTTGTCTGCCAGTAGTGGACATCAATAATACCATGATGAAGTCATGAAGTAATGCTTTTTCCAGCAAAATCTTGAATACTGTCCGAATCAATAGCAACATGGAGAAACAAGGATGTTATTGTCAAGAACAAGAAAGTTCATGACAGGAAAATCGAGATCGTCCAGCTTATCGTACAGAGTAGTTTTAAATGATCCCTTTCCATCAAGTAATGACTTAATATCGAGGAGAGTGACTGAGGTAGAAGAGCAGGTAGTGTCCTTAATGTTAAGCTCGGAGGGTATGCAAGATCGACGTGGTCAATACAATTCTTGTTATTTGTATACAGCATTACGTCGATATATCTTAATGCAATATTGAAATAATGAAGGACTTGGCTCGAGTTTTTTTTGTCCTGATTGCTTATCAATAAATTTAGCCTCGTATGAAAACAAAAAAGTCAGGCAGAAGAGGCACCCAGTGTCTTCCCATAGGAATGCCTACAGTCTGCTTACTGACATAGGAATGCCTACAGTCTGCTTACTGACATAGGAATGTCTACAGTCTGCTTACTGACATAGCAATGCCTACAGTCTGTTTACTGACATAGGAATACTTACAGTCTGCTTACTGACATAGGAATGTCTACAGTCTGCTTACTGATATAGGAATGTCTTCAGTCTGCTTACTGACATAGGAATGCCTACATTCTGCTTATTGACATATAAAGCCTACAGTCTGCTTACTGACATAGGAATGCCTACAGTCTGCTTACTGACATAGGAATGTCTACAGTCTGCTTACTGACATAGGAATGCCTACAGTGTGCTTATTAACATAGGAATGTCTACAGTCTGCTTACTGACATAGGAATGCCTACAGTCTGCTTATTGACATAGGAATGTCTACAGTATGCTGATTGACATAGCAATACCTACAGTCTGCTTATTGACATAGGAATGTCTACAGTCTGCTTATTAACATAGGAATGTCTACAGTGTGCTTATTGACATAGGAATGTCTACAGTCTGCTTACTGACATAGGAATGTCTACAGTCAGCTTATTAACATAGGAATGTCTACAGTCTGCTTATATATAATTACTGACATAGGAATGTCTACAGTTTTCTTACTGACATAGAAATGTCTACAGTCTGCGTACTGACATAGGAATGCTTACAGGGTGCTTACTGACATAGGCATGTCTACAGTCTGCTTACTGACATAGGAATGCCCACAGTGTGCTTACTGACATAGGAATGTCTACAGTCTGCTTACTGACATAGGCATGTCTATAGGTTGCTTACTGACATAGCAATGCCTACAGTCTGTTTATTGACATAGGAATGGCTACAGTCTGCTTACCGCCATAGGAAGCTTACTGACATAGAGATGCCTACAGTCTGCTTACCGCCATAGGAAGCTTACTGACATAGGGGGGGCTACAGTCTGCTTATCAACATAGGAATGTCTAAAGTCTGCTTATTAACATTGGAATGCCTACAGACTGCTAACTGACATAGTGACATAGGAATGTCTACAGTCTGCTTACTGACATTGGAATGCCTACAGTCTGCTAACTGACATAGAAATGCCTACAGTCTGCTTACTGACATAGGAATGTCTACAGTCTGCTTATATATAATTACTGACATAGGAATGTCTACAGTCTGCTTACTGACATAGGAAGCTTACTGACATAGAAATGCCTACAGTCTGCTTACTGACATAGGAATGTCTACAGTCTGCTTACTGATGGAAAGTCTTGCAATCGAACTTAACAAAGATATTATCAACCAGGAACTCAATCATATTCACAATTTAGTATTTTCACAATTTCATACCCTGTATATGTATTCAGTCTTTGTATTGCTTTTCATAAAAATATGCTCCAAAATATTTTACCTCCATATATTTATATCACAGTTTGCCCTACTTTTTCGAAAGAAACCTCACATAAAAAGAATATGAAGGCGTTCCCTCAATTTGGTATAAGGAATTGTAGTGTAAATGGTCAAATTATAAAAATAAAATTGATGGAATAAACCTTTTTTGAGAAAGGGATATGCTCTTACAAATGAGTATACATAGTCACGGTACGACCGTAACCCTGATTATAATATATGGTACTCATTATATATGCTATAAGATGAACCCGCGATAAAATATCAGGATTCTGGTAAAATTTCGCATTCAAATACAAAGAAGGCAATGGTCCGTATCCTTATCATTAGTTGGTGCTCGGAAAGATCGTAATATAGAAGAGTGATTAGCTAGAATTTCGTCTTACGAAAAGTGGAGGAGTTACCTTGGGTATCAAGCATGCTTATTTCTGAATGGTCACCTTGTCATCATCTGCTAAAATAAACATTATTTATTTTACAGCCATTATAAAACAAGCTATTTCAACTTATATTAATCACTCGTTGGCCCGGAAATTAGCGCTCAAGGGTTCTTAAAGTGGGTGGGAGGAAACCAGTGTACCCGGAGAAAACCCACGTGACCTGGCATGTGAACCATACCTATTATCGCCCGATAGGGGAATCGAAGCCCGGTAGTTTTAGCGAAAGGAAAGTGAGCTATCCACTGCGCCACCCGATCACCCTGCTATCCTACCTCCAAGTGATTGATATCCTTTGCGTGCCAAATCAGGGTAGGGGTTGGCATGGAAATTATACAATGGCGCCTTACATTAAGTAGCCACGGAATATAAGACAGTTTCACTGCGAGAGGGATCCTCTGACTGGGTCTCTGAACTTTTCATATTTCGAATTTTCCGGACCACAAACTTGTTTACCGTTGTGGTCCATTGTTTGATGTAAGCTCGAAAGTTGTATTGTACGTATGTGTATTACAAGATAGCTTTTGACTGTAGAAATAAACGAGACTTCCCATATTTTGTACTAGACCTATACAAAACACCATGGATATAGTAAAATGTTGTAGTTTAGTGAAAACACTTATTCAATTGATTTTTATTTTAACTACATTGACAAAAACTCCCAAAAAACTCAACAAAATGATGCGTAGGCATGCCTAATAGAGCCTAAGGCAGCTACGCTAGTGATGTATAAGCATGAAGATGTTGTATATCATATATCTCTGCATAGAGAACATATTCTGATACACGTCTCACAATGGGTATAAGACTGAACGCTATAGTTGTTGTTAATAACGGTAAAGTGACGAGGAAAGGTTAGGGTTGTTGATAGTCCTTTTTATTAATTAACAATTGGTCCTAGCATCTATCACAATTACAATATAACCAAAATTTGGTTCAATGATAATTTATATATCAATATCAGAAATGAACTGTAAAAAAGAGCACAAAATGAGACTTTTAAGTAAGTATGATAAAAGTAAAAATGTACACATCAAGCATACACAAAAATCGACATTGATTAAATGAGAGTATGGGTCGAATTTTTCATTTATAAACAAAATATGAAATGAGAAAAAACGTAATAGTAGCGCTACGGTAGAATACATTTTGTATAAATATAATGGAATGTAAGGGCAGTCTGTTGATTAATACTGGATCACTGGAAAATTGACCTCAAATTAGAATACGTGGGATCAAATTCTGTAAGACTAATGTAACAATTCCATTCCGTCACTCACGATGAGAGAATGGTAGCTCTGATAGATATATGCAACAAGTATATAAGTATGACGTACGTTTACTTGTAATATGTAATTTTGACGTAATATGACACAAAAAACGCTGAAAGCGTGACGTAGATTAAACTGGTTAAAGAAATATTTCACAATTTCAAAAAAATATTTAAACATTATTACGAACATCATTACACGTATTGATACAAAATAACTGCAAAAGATATATTTCAACAAAACTCGTTTTTATATCTAATATAAAATACCTTTCTTATGACCATGGCACATGCAATTATCAAGAATATTCCGAACTATAAAAAAACATCTTAATCCAACACTACATTAATAATAATTACAACCGGATCAAGTAAATCAACAGTACTTGATAAGAGTATTTTTTGNTCTCTCTCTCTCTCTCTCTCTCTCAATTAAAGCAAATGTAAATATATATGTTATATGCCATCTTGATAATTTGTAGTAATATATTGTAGGGAAAGGGCTTAATATAAGTTGTAAAACTTGTGCCCAACTCCCATTGTATATAAATTACAATAAAATATGTTTAAATCAAAACAAAACAGAAAAAAGTACACGAAAATTGGTATTAAAGTAAATACATGCAAGCATACCTTGTGATGTGCTCTTTTGAAACATATAAAATGTAATAGACTTTTTCGAGTGTTACTGAACTATATACTAGAAGTATTAAAAATACAACATTATGATATTTAAAAATATTTGATTTTAAATGTTTCTTTATTTTCTGTGATTTTGTTTTCTTTCTGAAAAGCTAAAAGGAAGAAAGTAAAAAAACACTACCCCTCTTGATGAGGACAATTTGTTTAAGAGGACTGACTCCGTGGCGGTGAGCCGGTCCGTCGTATTTGTAACGGATTCAAATATTTGCAATTGACAAAGATTGCGCGAATTAACTAAAGTTAATATTTAGATAATAATATTAAAATGCATGTCTCTGTTAACTTTCAAAGTTTGTAGAAACAAGAAAGATAACCATAAAACAGGTATTCTGACCGTTTGGTAAAAGTAAGAGCTGCACAAGTCAGTCGTAGGTGTAGCGGTACTCCCTCACATCTCTTCAAGACAAAAGGAATAATTAAAATGATTCAATATTGTATCACTGTGTGATATAACAATGTAACTGGTTACTATATTAATGTGATATAACAATGTAACTGGTTAATATATTGATGTGATATAACAATGTAACTGGTTAATATATTAATGTGATATAACAATGTAACTGGTTAATATATTAAAGTGATATAACAATGTAACTGGTTAATAATACATTAAAGTGATATAACAATGTAACTGGTTAATATATTAATGTGGTATAACAATGTAACTGGTTTAACAATGTAACTGGTTAATATATTAATGTGGTATAACAATGTAACTGGTTAATATATCAATGTGCATATAGCAATGTAACTGGTTAATATATATTAATGTGATATAACAATGTAACTAGTTAATATACATGTATTAATGTGCATATATCCTCTGTACCAACACAGTTCATATTTGTAGACAGATGATAAAAAGTCGAAATTACCAGATTATTGAGACTTGAATAATATAAAGGATCCATATCGCACACCTGATAAAATGGATTAGATGTGCGTTATACCACCATAACGACCAGCTCGACCGTTAAACGAACTTTTATACCAAATCTTAGAGGTATGACTCTAAACGAAATGTTTCGTGATAGCCATGTAGAAGTAATAGTTTTAATACTGTCAGTGGTAATCTAGATGTCATATTTTTTCTTTGCATTTTCTTTGGTTTTGATGATGGGTATACATTTGATGTTAAGGGTTGACTATTTAGAGTCTTACATTCTTAATACAATGTTCTGCATTAACAGAATTATGCTATTTTGTTTAACTGAATTATTACACAGACATTCACACTGTTGATATATTTACAAAGCATGCCAAAATGAATACATGTAGGAACTAATACCGGTAATTATAAATGATCTGACAAAAGTAAGGCAAATCATTATTTAGTCTGTTTTCCTCTCTATTCTTCATATGTACAGAAAGACATTTTGTGGATCAGACATGATTTTGCCGCATCTACATAGAAACCAGCTTTGCTCGAGAGTTTGTTGTTTTTCCACTGGGCCAGACAGACATGAACCAATTTCAGTAAGTGCTCCTCGTGCGGATCAAGTTCCTGTGTTAGTAAGGTATCCACGATTTCCCGCCATGTCTCGTCAGTGACACTTCCGGCATCAGTGGTTATGGCCTTCGTCAGCGCAGGGGCGTCTACGGTTAGATAGACGGCCATAAGATCACAGGCGAATGTTCTCATAGCGTCCATGGCGTCTTTGGGACACAGGTACGGGATGATCTGCCGGAGGGACCAAGCGGACGTTACGCCATGTAATAAAAAGAAATCGTTTTGCCTTTCGGACATGGCGTATACGGCAATAGCTTGATCAGTCAACCAATCAGAAAGGTTGATAAGGAATTCGGTTTCCGTTATGCCATCTCTTGTGAACGGAATGTTGATTCGATTAGCATACTGAAGTAAGATGTCTCCAGAATTATTTGTCAGGAAAACGAATCTGTTCGAAAAACCATCTCCTAAGTATTTGCCAAGTTTTTTGTTCACCAAAGCACCATCCAACATATGTTGGCGAAGGGAGGAATCGGCTTTCATTTCACTTAGAATATCCAGTACATCCGTGTCACCTTTGCCGAAGTTCTCGATATCGCTTTCTGCTTTTGTTTCGTCAAATATGATTGGTTGATACGAGTGGTGCATGTATGCCAACCCTTCAGACACCACGGTCCCATGTCCAGCATGGAAGCCATATCCCAGCTGAATCAGACCATGCATTGCTACACAGCCCAAACCTCGGCTTAGTTTGGGAAATTCAGCTTTAATGACATCTTCCAAGGATCCACAGGTGTTCAACTTGCTGATGTAATTATTTCGTATTCCGTAGTAGGACTTCCTCTTCCCAAGAAGATCTGGTAATGTTTGGTCACTGACAGGAGGAGTGTCTGGGTCCTCACCTGTATGGTCAGGGTGTTCCGGTGGCTCCAAGAGCTTTGTGCACCATTTAGCGAACTCACCAATCTTAGTCTGAGACGCTCCAAGTTCATTCAAAGCAACAATTCCATGTGCCATGTGATTAGACTTAAATCCTTGATACTCTATGAAGTATTTTTGGGTAGAATATTCCTGGAGGATCTCTGCTAACCATTTTCCTTTGTTCGCGGCCATCTGTAAGATAAGATATTGCTACTTATAAAACAATCTTTTGAAATCAGTACAAATTAAAAAGTTGTAACACTATTAGTCAAGTCAATGTAGCTATTGTAATATGGCCCTTATTTGTCTTAGTTATTTCTAAATGATTGTTTCTGCAATATATTCTTAATTTGTTTCGAACTAACGACATACAAAAATAAGCCATACTTAGTCTATTTAAGTTAGACACGTACATATCTATTATCCAAGACAGGTGTACGACATTATGACATTCTGTACATGACACGGTCAACAGAGTAAGAGAAAAGAAATCATTGATAAATGTGATAATTATATATCGTCACTCGAAGAAATTGTTTTCCGCTGGATTTAACATAATTAAATGACATTAATGAATTCAAATTGTCTAGGATCACAGGTTTGCTCTGCAGTCTATATAATGTGGCTTCTAGTAGACCAGTGACATTATTTTTTTAGCAAATATATTAATACAGTTTAACAGTTGACATAATCATGTTTAAGTGAAACACCGTGCTTTGCCATGTAAAATTAGGAACCTACTCTCGATGAGCGCTACTATAGAGGTACTCCAAGTCGTCAACAGTCACAGTAGCTTCAGATACGTCCTGAAAATAATAATAAAAAATTGATGTATATAGTACCATGATCAAATAATAAAAAAAATGATGTATATAGTACAATGATCAAATAATAAAAAAAAAATGATGTATATAGTACCATGATCAAATAATAAAAAAAAAATGATGTATATAGTACAATGATCAAATAATAAAAAAGAGAGTTGTTTTTGTACTCACACAACAGACATCGGGTTCATGATAAAGGGAGCCAAAAGAGTTACAAAACAAACAAAAAACAAACAAACAAAAAACAAACAAAAAACAAACAAAAAGTGATGGTAAGGGAATCTAGCTGATGGAAATCAATAAGTGTAATTATACGTGTTTACAATGAAAGCATAAAACCATTTTTTTTTTTTACTGAAATTAATAAGAAACAAGACAAACTGTCTTTTACAATGTGACTATATGGAACGTTATAAAATAGATATCAACAGTCACTCTCTATCAAACTTGTTTGTCGTGCTTCATCAGGGATTGAATGATTTTCACTGTTATGTCCCATTCACTGAAAAGCTAAACCCGAAATCTTGGATCGGAAGTGACCATTGGTATTTATCTTTTATAAAATATGTTTGTTTGTCTATGACGTGATATAGTCCTGGTGCAACACATTCAAATAATTAAATGTATAATTTATCGTTTCAAGAAAATGGTCATAATAAAAAAAAACATCGAACTTTATTCCACACAAAGAAAAAGCATATTTCCCAACGTACATATATGTAAGAACACATCTAAATAACAAGTAGCAGATTTAATTATAAATATCAAAATGAATCATATAAAGGGATTCATTCTATATAAGAAGCTAAACCTAAAAATGCAAAAATCAAACACCTCCATTGTCGATCTATGCATGAGTTTTTTATGTTTGTTTCAACAAGCTTAAAGGCTAGGAGACGATTGTCGTGAAGGTCGTGTCTATCTACAATGGTTAACACTATTTGTATAACAACATTAGGCAGCCTCTACTGTATCGATTGAGTGTAATTACTTATTAGGGTTTCTTTGATATATTGTTTAACCGGCTGTATTATAATGACCTTACTTACAATTAGTATTTTGCAGTACCGGCAGTATATAATTACGTACTAGAAGTTTAGTATACATACTTACGTACAGTAAGTCTTCTGAACTATTGGCTGCTGTAGGTCGTGTAAGGTCTTGCCCGCTGAACTTACGCACAGTAACTCTTCTAATACCTTGTCTGATGTACAGGTAATATATACCCAACTACTGTAAATATTATGAGAGCTTGTCTCATACTCTTACATTGTATTGTAGTTCTGATGAAATTATATCCGCTTCTTAAGTAAGGCGAAATCAGCTCGACGCATATATGTAAATCAATGTCATTTATTGGGAACATGGGGCCCCCGACAGGAAATATACTAACATCTAAAGTCCTAAATTGTACGATCGTGAGGAATTATATATATCCTGTTAAATATATGGAAAATAATTCATTTTGTTAGCTTTTTCGATATAAACTAAAATCATAATTAACACTCTTAATTAAATAATCTTAGATGACATCCAAGGAATGCAAAACAATAAATAGAGGGTTCGACTTCAATTTCCTTTAATAAAGCTATCTTATAGCCGAAAACCGAGTAATTTGGATACTCTGTGTTTTGTGTAATGTATTGTGTTCATTAGAAATGAAATCAACAACCAACTAACCGATTCCAACCTAGGTGATCCGAACACGTACCCCCAATATTCCATATAAAACAAATAGCTTTGTTCCATTTTCCGTGACCTTAGTTCTCCCGATGTTTAATATATATATATATAGAGTTTAGGGTTAGATAAAACCCGCACTATCAGTCCTTGTATAGTATAAAGGGCACACTCCTCAAACTAGATTACAAGAACATCTAATCTATTCGTATGTTATAGAAGAAAACAACTGACCTAGAAATGATCGTTGGGGTTCATTGTATTTTGTGTGTACGCATACATAACATGTGATGATAAATCCGGTGAGTGTGTATCCAGTGTATCTTTGTTGTGGGTAAAACTGTTATTCTATTCACAAGATGGCTGCCAAAACGTGGAGTCTATATTTGTGTGTAAAAACAGTCTACTAGATAGTGTTGCTACCCAGGCTTTGATAAGAGAGTGTTATTTATATATTAACAAACGTATACACTTTTATTATAATATGTAACTTGAAACATGTAACATATGCTGTGTTCATAAAGCGGTAAATACGATTTTACTTCTAATACAGAACCTTTTAAATAAGCAATTTTATTACTGAACCGAGTTGTAAAACGGAGCAGCATACATATCATTAATCATAAGTAGGTTTTATAAATAAGTGTGACGAATAGAAAATATGTTATATACCTAGCTGTATCAAAACAGAGCTCTTTAATAGCAGTACACAGACGGGACATGTATTTTAAAAATTATCCTACATACATTATGTATAATATACATATAACTTTAATATGCAAACAAATGATTGTCGGTACAGATGTTACTATTACAGTATTACGCAGTACATATAGACAATCAATATGTTCAGTATTCCTTGATGTAGACATTCTTCCCAATAGAAATGCTGATGTACACACTCATGCTACCAGAGATATAGACATCTTTCGCCCAGTGTTTTTGTCGGAGTAATTTGTTTCAAAATTCGCTCATTCCTTCCGTCCTAAAACGTTAGAACTCTCTTCCTCCCGACCTTAAAGCAGAACATTTATATGGGCGGTCTAGTAAACTTAACGAACATTTATATGGGCAGTCTAGTAAACCTAACGGACATTAACATTTATATGGGCGGTCTAGTAAACTTAACGAACATTTATATGGGTAGTCTAGTAAACTTAACGAACATTTATATGGGTAGTCTAGTAAACTTAACGAACATTTATATGGGTAGTCTAGTAAACTTAACGAACATTTATATGGGTAGTCTAGTAAACTTAACGAACATTTATATGGGTAGTCTAGTAAACTTAACGAACATTTATATGGGTAGTCTAGTAAACTTAACGAACATTTATATGGGTAGTCTAGTAAACTTAACGAACATTTATATGGGTAGTCTAGTAAACTTAACGAACATTAACATTTATATGGGCAGTCTAGTAAACCTAACGAACATTAACATTTATATGGGCGGTCTAGTAAACTGAACGAACATTAACATTTATATGGGCGGTCTAGTGAACTTAACGAACATTAACATTTATATGGGCGGTCTAGTAAACTTAACGAACATTAACATTTATGTGGGCGGTCTAGTCAACTTAAGTAACATTAATATTGTCAGTCTAGTAAATTTAAGGACCATTTATATGGGCAGTCTATACTTTACGAACATGTATTTGGTAAGTTTAGTAAACTTAGGGAACATTCATATGGGCGGTCTAGTAAACTTAAGGAACATTAAAAGGGTAGTCTAGTAAACATAACGAACATTAACATTTATATGGGCAGTCTAGTAAACTTAACGAACATTAACATTATATGGGCAGTCTAGTAAACTTAACGAACATTAACATTTATATGGGCAGTCTAGTAAGCTTAACGAACAATAACATTTATATGGGGGGTCTAGTAAACTTAACAAACATTAACATTTATATGGGCGGTCTAGTAAACCTAACGAACATTAACATTTATATGGGCGGTCTGGTAAACTTAACGAACGTTTATTTGGTTAGTCTAGTAAACCTAACGAACATTAACATTTATATGGGAGGTCTAGTAAACTTAACGAACATTAATAATTATATGGGCAGTCTAGTAAACTTAACGAACATTAACATTTATATGGGCGGTCTAGTAAACTGAACGAACATTAACATTTATATGGGCGGTCTAGTAAACTTAACGAACGTTTATTTGGTTAGTCTATTAAACCTAACGAACATTAACATGTATATGGGCGGTCTCGTAAACTTAACGAACGTTTATTTGGTTAGTCTAGTAAACTTAACGAACATTAACATTTATATTGGCGGTCTAGTAAACTTAACGAACATTAACATTTATATGGGAGGTCTAGTAAACTTAACGAACATTAACATTCATATGGGCAGTCTAGTCAACTTAACGAACATTAACATGTATATGGGCAGTCTAGTAAACTTAACGAACATTAACATTTATATGGGCAGTCTAGTAAACTTAACGAACATTAACATTTATATTGGCTGTCTAGTAAACTTAACGAACATTAACATTTATATGGGCGGTCTAGTAAACTGAACGAACATTAACATTTATATGGGCGGTCTAGTAAACTGAACGAACATTAACATTTATATGGGCGGTCTAGTAAACCTAACGAACATTAACATTATATGGGCAGTCTAGTCAACTTATCGAACATTAACATTATATGGGCAGTCTAGTAAACTTAACGAACATTAACATTATATGGGCAGTCTAGTAAACTGAACGAACATTAACATTTATATGGGCGGTCTAGTAAACTTAACGAACGTTTATTGGGCGGTCCAGTAAACTTAACGAACATTAACATTTATATGGGCAGTCTAGTAAACTTAACGAACATTAACATTATATGGGCAGTCTAATAAACTTAACGAACATTAACATTATATGGGCAGTCTCGTAAACTTGACGAACATTAACATTTATATGGGCGGTCTAGTAAACCTAACGAACATTAACATTATATGGGCAGTCTAGTAAACTTAACGAACATTAACATTAATATGGACAGTCTATATATAGCTAGTAAACTTTACGAACATTAACATTTATATGGGCAGTCTAGTAAACTTAACGAACATTGACATTCATATGGGCGGTCTAGTAACCCTAACGAACATTAACATTATCTGGGCAGTCTAGTAAACTTAATGAACATTAACATTAATGTGGACAGTCTATATATAGCTAGTAAACTTTCCGAACATTAACATTTATATGGGCGGTCTAGTAAACTTAACGAACATTGACATTCATATGGGCGGTCTAGTAAACTTAACGAACATTAACATTTATATAGGCAGTCTAGTAAACTTAACGAACATTAACATTATATGGGCAGTCTAATAAACTTAACGAACATTAACATTATATGGGCAGTGTCGTAAACTTGACGAACATTAACATCTATATGGGCAGTCTAGTAAACTTTACGAACATTAACATTTATATGGGCAGTCTAGTAAACTAAACGAACATTAACATTTATATGGGCAGTCTAGTAAACTGAACGAACATTAACATTTATATGGGCGGTCTAGTAAACTTAACGAACGTTTATTTGGTTAGTCTAGTAAACCTAACGAACATTAACATGTATATGGGCGGTCTAGTAAACTTAACGAACATTAACATTTATATGGGCGGTCTAGTAAACTTAACGAACATTAATATTATTTGGGCGGTCTAGTAAACTTAACGAACATTAACATTTATATGGGCGGTCTAGTAAACTTAACGAACATTAACATTTATATGGGCGGTCTAGTAAACTTAATGAACATTAACATTTATATGGGCGATCTAGTAAACTTAACGAACATTAACATTTATATGGGCGGTCTAGTAAACTTAACGAACATTAACATTTATATGGGCGGTCTAGTAAACTTAACGAACATTAACATTTATATGGGCAGTCTAGTAAACTTAACGAACATTAACATTTATATGGGCGGTCTAGTAAACTTAACGAACATTAATATTTATATGGGCAGTCTCGTAAACTTAACGAACATTAACATTTATATGGGCAGTCTAGTAAATTTCTTTTGTGGAAGTAAGTATGGTTAGAGTCACTATGCGAGGCTCAGAATGGAACGTAGCTCTCTGAATATTTTTTTTTTACTCAAAATTCTCTCGCACATCTATGACCAAGTATTAAACAAAGCGTAGCTGGATCGAGTCATTTCGGTACATATATAACAACCATTGTAGATGTGGACGACTTGTATACATTTTACTCCTTTGTGTGTATACGCTCCACTGGTCATTTGTCTGATGAAGGTGACAGTGTACATGCTAGTCATCGAAACGTCACATAGAAAATTGTATCGCTTTGTAAAAAGAAACTTTTCATAAAATATGTACAGGAGTGGCTTTTGAAAATGCTTCATAACATAATTGTTTGTTTTTGAAGTACTTAAATCTGAATTAGTATCTGCATTTTTTGTTTAACCTCTTGTCCCTGGAAAGCGCACTGCACTCACCCCCCTCTCATAAATGTACAGTAGGCTCACAACGATTCAGCATCGGTATGTACTTATCTCAAATGACCAGTACTTTTGTTTGACGACGTAAGTAGTAACTTCCATTTGAAGAAACTGGATTGATATAAGCTTTAAGCTTGTTTCCATATCCTGTTTCTGTTTGAACTCAAATTGTGTGTAAAATGAAAGAAACGAAACAAATTTGCACTAATATTCCTTGATGGCGAAGCGAGCTCTCCAAGCCGCAATCGTTACAACTGTATTTCTACATACAAGGCCACCATGCAACTATGTGTAACAAAATTGTGATAAATACTGAAAATTGGGTAATAAATGATGAAGAAAAGAATCATCCTATTCCGTCTTTGCGTATTGCAGAGTTATCTTCTCTTGAGAACAGGTATTGATTGTTACGTCATTGGTTTGTGTGAGAAAATTACGTCGTTTTCTCAAAAATTGATGACGTTACTCTCATAAACAAATGACGGAACAATCAATACCTGTTATCAAGAGAAGATAACTCTGCAATACGCAAAGACGGAATATCATGTAAGATAGTAGGTATCAATACAGAGCAGCACTTTAGCAAAAAGTACATTTGAGGTCAAATCTAACGATTTGGTAAACATCGAGCATTACTTGACGGAGGGACTGTTGAATTGCAGATAGTGCTAAAGGACTATCCATCCATTTCATCCATGGTATTCGAGGTTCGGAAATGTAAGCCTCTGGGGAGAGGCCAGGGAAAGCCTCAGCCAGAGGGGCCTATGGTGGTCCGGGTACAGCACTTGGCGTGCTTTAGAACTTTGTGTTTGATGATGTAACTCTATATAATCTGTGAGCTTGTAGATTTGCTGTCGTGTTCGAGAACTATGTTTAAAAGGACTTTTTATCCATTTTTGGGAGATCTTTCAGAAAGGGGAGATGGAGCCTACTCCGGGATAGGGGTAAAGTCTCTTGACTGTCGCAGTCAAAATACGTAATAGTAATAAACCAATAAAACCACAATGGGGTGTTTAGCGTGTTGTGTTTCATATCCGGAACCTCGGAGCTTAAACATGTATATTACAAATTTTAGGTCAAGATGCTGGTTTTATATTTAGATATATGCTGATGTTAAAATTCTAGAATAAAAAGTATTTTATTACGTTAATTACACGGTTGTGAAATAATCTGTTTTCCAACAAAAATTCATTAAGCAAGAACACTCCGTGGTGGTGGAAAATCTTCGCAAAACTGACGCTTATTTCGGCTTAACTTACAGAAACAAACCAAATCACAAAACGTATTCCGGATACTCTAAGCAACTTTTAGTCTAACAAATAAGCTGTATTAAGTCCGGATAGTTATATAACTAAGTATGATCATACTTGTATGCGTAAAAATCACAAATCTACAAGCTGCTTTTAATATATGATTTATTAAATATCGTTTTATCTCAAAAAGAATATAATCTATATCAAATATAATATATATCCAATTATCAGCATACAGGGTCGTTTCAAAAAGTGTCTTTTAACACTTGAACAGATAAAAATAAATGCAACGGTGCAACCATCACGAGTTTTGGGACTTGTTTTTCACAAAACTTTTCATAATATGTTTAAAATCCTGTTTACACACGACCAAATCTTCCCATCTGGTAAACATCATGACGTCATCATAACAACTACATCTTGTGCGACGACACAGGAAACTGTGACGTTGTAGTGTTTAATATAGGTGAAATGCTAATGCCCTGTGAAGAAAACTATGTTATTCCTAAGACACGTTGATATCAACAAAACTGAGGTCGTTGTCGACACACTGTTGAGCGGCGTGTAAATAGAGGTCAGCTTTGTCCGAACCGTTCTCTTGGTGCCACATATCACGGCAGACTTGTACAAGTTTAAAGATATGTTCGTCGCAATCGCGTGACAGAGTTTTGTTGACAATGTCCTGCCAATCTGAGGTAGTGACGGCACTTCGTGTGATTTTCGGTTTGTTCGTTAGGGCAGGACATTCCTGAGAGAGGTAAGCCGCCAACAAAACACACGTGAACGTTCTCAGCGTATCAATGGCATCTGGAGGTTTAAGCACAGTGATAATCTGACGCAGCGACCACGCCGATGTGACACCATGAACAAGAAAGAAGTTGTTAGGCTGTTCCGACAATGCATAAACAGCAATAGCTTGGTCAACCAACCAATCAGAGACGGCCACGGCGAGGCTAGCTTCGTCCTCGCAATTACTTATAACCGGAACTTTGATTTTATATGCATACTTCATAAGAACGTCGCCCATTCCCATAAGAGCAGCTACAGCGTACTGAAATTGACCAGAATCCCAATCGCTTTGTGAAAGCTTCTTTACTCCATCTCTCATTGACTTTCTCAACTGTTCATCGTCCTTCAGTTCGGCAAGTACTGCTAAAATATCGGTTTCTCCTTTCCCAAAATTGCTGATGTCATTATCTGGATTCATCTCGTCAAACATGAGCGGCTTATAGGAGTGGTGTAGATATGCCAGTCCTTCAGTAACAGTGGTCAGACTTTTTGCACTGTAGCCATACCCAGTGTGTATTAACCCGTGGATAGCCGAGCACACTAACCCTCTACTCAACCTTGGGAACTCTTCTCTCAGCATTTCCTCCATTGATCCATATTCCTGTTGTTTCATATTAAATCGATTCCGTATCTTGTAGTACAATTTTCGTTGTCCAAGAAGTTTGTGAAGTTCGTCGTCAGTTGCGGGTTCTGCGTCAGTACTTTCGTCACTGTGAAGTGGGTGATTTGGTGGTTCAAGGTTGCCTTGATTCCCATAGTCGTCAATAAATCTCTTAACCCTGTCTTGGCCTCCGCCAAGCCTGTCTATAGCGATGATGCCATGTGCTATGTGATTGCTCCGGAACGTCTTATTCTCAATGTAGTATTTCTGCGTTGATTGGTCCTCCAGAATCTCATTCAACCAGGAACCGGAAGTGGTGACCGTTGACATGTTAAATCTACAACAAGAATCAACACACATGTTCATTAATGAAGTACAGTGGCACGTGTTTGAACAAAAAAGGAAAAATGATAATTTACAAAGAAGTGTATATTCATAAAATATGACGACATATATCTAGCTTTCATATTATGAATGATAGCATAACACTGTAATCCTCAAATAGTTAAACATCAATGAAGATGGTCTCCGGAAATCAGCGATATGGTCTCCGGAAATCAGCGATATGGTCTCCGGAAATCAGCGATAGGAGTTGCCACTTCGTGAGTACACGCGTTAGTGAACTAAGCAAAGAAGCATTAAGATTAAGAAATGATTGCCAATTGGTTATTAACGAATACATGAAGTAATTAGAGATTGGTTATGTTATTCGTTGCTAGTAATACAGCGCGGATATTTCAGATCGCAAAGGAAACACTACAGAGATTAGAATACTGTCAAAGCTTTGTTTAATTATCAAGGTAAATGTGAATGACGTGATGTTAGACCAGTATTTCCATTTTAGCCGCTGTTTTGGTCCGAGGTTTGTTCTCAGGACAATGCAACAAAACTCTACCCGGTATGGTAAATACACAGCTATGTTCAGTCGTTTTTCGATGATATTAAACTGGAAATGTTGCATAGTAAATATAACATATGATTCGTGTCTTAAAATGTTTTTAGTCGCAAGGTACATGTATATCCATGTCAAGTTCAAGTTCTTTATTACCTTGGGTCTTTTGACCCATCGGTTTTAAAGTGAGATATATTTACAATATTTACACAATACGATACATGCAACACATACAATACAATACCAGCAATGTACAAACAGTACGTATAGAGAGTGTAACAAGTTAGGTTAATTGGTTTCTTCTTACATTTGTCGCTTTTATATATTTGGCCAAATTGACAAGTTCTTTTTGTGTTATTTACATTAAATAAATTTATCATTTTGACCATACTTGGTTTTTATGTTATAACCTTAACAACTTACTTGGGTAGAGATTTCAGCCCCTATAAGTGACGGCCCGTGTAAGTGCTTTGGCTATATTCCCCAAAATTACCACAATCGCTGTTGCCAGAATTTGGGCGGCAATTTAAGCTGACCACAAACAGGCGACCGATGAGGTGTCTGCAGCGACCGGTTATAGCAGGTTTAAACAAAATTAGTTAACACTATCACGTGCTCACATGTACGTTAACGTGCGTGCATAACTTGTGAGAGGATCCGAAGGATATCTTGTCCCTATCGTTAGCTTACAAAGACTATATATTCTCGTTTAGATAATCTAAATTTACTTGAGTATGTTAAATGTATTTATAGTGGCCTCTTGTATATTGTTACCATCGATATATCTAGGTCTCGGTCGTTTGAATGAAACAATGTTCATACAAGTATCTATTTATTTTTGTAAGTTATAACATTAAGTAGAATTCTAGGAAGACTTGATACACGCAGCTACCGGGCACTTCTGCTTACATTTATGTTGGTACATTTTGAGGTAAGTTTTGATAACTGTTGTAATCGAAGTGTATCAAGGTACGCTTTGTTAAAGGTACATTTTCATCACTTTTATAATCCAAAGTTTGGTATACTATCTAGTTTATCAACTTTTATCTTTGGGTACACTCTTGTGTGGAACATATTTGTTTGGTTAATTTTAATACCATAGTGATCAAGAGTGTACGTCATAAAAGAGGACATAAAGGTACTCTATAGAGTTCCGCCGTTATCGGCCATCGTAAACTTTCTTCCTTCATAACTGTATGCCTATAACTATGGGTAGTCATAAACGGTGGTGTTTTAGCATAAAGGTTTTCAATATTATATAGTTTGATATCTTAATTCACAGTAAATGTTGTATGTTATTTAACGTTTGTTTGTTTTGCGGTAACGCACCACAACCAAGGCGCTTGTAAGCAAAATGTGGCCTAATCATATAAATATACGGATAACATTCAACCGTTGCTCAATAGACAAGGATTGACCAACTAAGCGTCATTAATTCCTATGTAGTACAGTGACCTCATCACTTGACCTACAAAATAGTATACGTACCAGACTTAGACTTTCCCACACCAGACATCTATAGTTCAAAATATCTCAGCCTGGTGTTAGGACCAATTGTTATTATTTACGACAGAAAGGCTAGTTTTAAATGCACATCCTGTAATTTAGTTGACTACGACCACGACACCCACTCATATACCCCGGCAGGACGAACTCGGCTGTTATGGTGCATATTTTCTTACATAATTGAACAAAAAACAATAATTAATAACGGAACATCAGAAAAATATCATCATTCAGAATGCACTTCAAATGGAACGGACAAAGTATTAAGAATGATGAAATATGAAATCGGACTATTGCAAGTCTAATCACCCACACCAGATCAGTGTAGACCACAGGGATGTGAGAATGAATTAATCGATAAATTACCAGAATATTATTACACGTGTTTGGTGAATAAATCAGCACTCGTACTTAGATGTGATAAAGTTCGATGAATTTTACATGAGTTGACCTAAACCCCCAAACGTCTAAAAATACTCCCTTTATTGGCTACACACCAGGAAACGTCCCACACGTAAACCTATAAATGATAGTGTAATGTCACTCCACCTTAGCCATCTAATGTACTTACTGACGGTTGTTTCTCCAGCTCAAACCACACACACCTCCAGCCGCTTGCAAACTAATGGCACGACATCGACACATTCGTAGTAAACATGGCATTCGACGTACACACACGGCTAGGTGTGTCATTGAGGTAAGTAAACAACGTCCACGATAAGAAAACAAGGGGGCCAACCGCAGGGTATTCTTTTCCACAATTAGTACGAGTTATTTCCCTTCCTTCGGGCAACCCCCATTCTGTTTCATATAATGATACTTGTGTGTTTTAACCACTTATTGCATTTTCATACATGACACAATAACAGGATGTATTGTAACTGTTTTTGTAATCGAGAATATTAAAGCTATTTGATGTAAAAATGGCAACTATTCGATGTAAAAGTGTAGTGACGATTTAATGTAATAGTGTGTTTTGCAACTTTCTGAGGCAATAGTTTGTAGGAAGGTAGAACTTGATGTCTTTTATTTTATTTTGTTTAATGGCCTATTAACAGCTAAGGTCAATGTGATGATGTAAAACAATTTGTAACTATTTGTTGTTAAAAGACACGCATATTTGTATTAAACATATCAATATTCAATAAAGGCGATCATGTTTAAGTCACATTATGTAATATACAGGACACTCTGATTTACCGTCAACTATGAGATATGTTTTCACGAGTGTTTTATAATCTAATTTATATATCTAATTGCTCTTTAATTGTTTTTCAGTACTTGTCAAATGGAGGCACAATGAGAGATATTATTTTGAGTAGATTTGGTGTAACTGATCTCGCATAGAAATACAAGAATACAAAATTAAATACACTAAATATGCACTTTTTCAATTAGTAAATAAAAGCACAAACGTACACTGTAATAAAACACAATTAATGCCTTTTTTAATTAATCAAATCCCAGAAATAAGGAAGTCAGATGATTGAAAAAGTGCATGGTAACAGCTAAGTAGTAAGGGTAACTCGCTCCTTCGAATACTGCTTTGTATCGTACAGGTAGGGAGTGAGTCACTGGCGTGAGATACGCACGTTAGTACATGTACACTCCCTCGGATGACGAGCCGAGCTGTAGTATAGTCAACTGTCTGAAGACTTAATTAAGGTGTCATCGATACCATATAAAATTGTATTTCCGTAGTCCAGGCGAGATGCAATCAGCGAAGGAATCTTTCGGATATGATAGAACAATGGTTTTTTAATGGAGTTTACTGTTTCTATGGTCAAAGATTTGTAAAATATACAAAAGAAGAGGGAAGTAGCGCATTTCCTTATTTTGAAATAATGTGCTATGTTTGGGGTTCTTCAACAGAACTAGACCTCCTTTATGTGAGATATTAAAACTACTAGCCAATCAAAATGTATTCTGAAACGTGTTTTAACAATGCCAACTCGGTCTGAACAGTGGTGAATAGGAATGTGTCGCCCTTGATTAGGTATTAAAATAACTTTTTTACATTTCAAGAAAGATTTTATTAGCTATCAAATATTTCATGAAAGTAATTGTTTTTTTACATAACGTAGCCTCTTTAATGTTGCTGAATCGGTTATTTTATGATAAGTAACGATTTTTTTATTTGTTTATTTTATTCTTTTATCCCTATCTGATGTTTTTTTTCACTATATTATCATATTTTACAACTACAACTGTCACCACACACACAGACTCGAACATTGAAGACCACGATGACGACGACAACACGGAGGTCAACATAGCTCCGCCCCTACTAAATTCTGCATTGACATTGTCGGTATATCACGGCATTAATTAAACGTTATTTGTGTGTGACACTTCCATACATATTGTGATAATGTTTTGCATGCTCAACAATTCGATACATTAAATTACAATTTGAAAAAAAACACATATTCTGAAGTTTATTATTTTTTTTTTAAATAAATTCAGTTTGTGTGTGAACACTTGGGTTCAACACGATAAACCCGATATACCGCCAAACTCGTTATATCGCCAAAAAACAGAGGGTGGAAGGTGGCGGTATAACGAGGTTTGACTGTACTTTCAGGTAAGCGTACACTTTTGTTAGATTTGTCGTCGCCATTGTCTTCGCTATCCTTGTCATATTGACGACACGCAAATAGATGGTCATCGAACCACAGGACAGTTGGCATACCATATAGGAAAATAGCAGTTCCCAGCTGAACGCCAACATGCTAATAATCGTCTTCCTCGAAGTGTCAGCAAACAATGGCTTTCCAGCTCAAAGTCGGTGCCAGAACTATTGAGACTGGTCCAGCTGTTGAAAACCTGGGGGTATATTTTTACCTGTTACTACCAAATCAGGAAACATCGGATGTATCCGGCAGTTTATAACTGTAGATGAATGCAAGACTTTAGTGCATTCACTTGTTACCTCTCGGTTAGATCATGGTAATGCCCTGCTCTGTGGTATATCTGACAAACTAACTAGTCGTCTGCAGAGGGTCCAGAACACTGCAGCACGGCTAGTTACTCGTACTCGAAAGAGAGAGCACATCACACCTGTGCTGTATTCATTGCACTGGTTACCTGTATGATACAGGTCACATTACAAAAGTTTGGTGTGCACATACAAGGCACTTCTATTATCCTTGTGCTGTAAAGCGCCTGGGAGTAATTTCGGAAATTATATATGGCTCTAAACAAATATGCTGTATATTATTCCTTAACTGGATACGTGAGTCAGCTGTATCGCATTTCATCAGTTGATCCAGAAGTCAGCTGTATCCGATTTCATCAGTTGATCCGGGAGTCAACTGTATCGCTTTTCATCAGTTGCTCCAGGAGTCATCTGTTTCGCATTTCATCAGCTTGATTCAGGCGTCAGCTGTATCGCATTTCATCAGCTTGATCCAGGAGTCAGCTGTACCGCATTTCATCAGTTGATCCGGGAGTCAGCTGTATTGCATTTCATCAGATGATCACGGAATCAGCTGTATCGCATTTCATCAGTTGATCCGGGAGTCAGCTGTATCACATTTCATCAGTTGATCCGGGAGTCAGTTGTATCGCATTTCATCAGTTGATCCGGGAGTCAGTTGTATCGCATTTCATCAGTTGATCCGGGAGTCAGTTGCATCGCATTTTATCAGTTTATCCGGGAATCATATGTATCGCATTTCATCAGTTGATCCGGGAGTCAGTTGTATCGCATTTCATCAGCTTGATCCGGGAGTCAGCTGTATCGCATTTCATCAGTTGATCTGGGAATCAGCCGTATCGCATTTCATCAGTTGATCCGGGAATCAGCTGTATCGAATTTCATCAGCTTTATCCGGGAGTCAGCTGTATCGCATTTCATCAGTTGATCCGGGAGTCAGCTGTATCGCATTTCATCAGTTTGATCCGGGAGTCAGCTGTATCGCATTTCATCAGCTTGATCCGGGAGTCAGCTGTTTCGCATTTCATCAGCTTGATCCGGGAGTCAGCTGTATCGCATTTCATCAGTTTCATCCGGGAGTCAGCTGTTTCGCATTTCATCAGCTTGATCCGGGGGTCAGCTGTATCGCATTTCATCAGTTTGATCCGGGAGTCAGCTGTTTCGCATTTCATCAGCTTGATCCGGGAGTCAGCTGTTTCGCATTTCATCAGCTTGATCCGGGAGTCAGCTGTATCGCATTTCATCAGCTTGATCCGGGAGTCAGCTGTTTCGCATTTCATCAGCTTGATCCGGGAGTCAGCTGTATCGCATTTCATCAGCTTGATCCGGGAGTCATCTGTATCGCATTTCATCAGCTTGATCCGGGAGTCAACTCTATCGTTTTCATCAATTCATCCGGGAGTCAGTTTTCTATCGCATTTCATCAGCTTGATCCGGGAGTCAGCTGTTTCGCATTTCATCAGCTTGATCCGGGAGTCAGCTGTATCGCATTTCGCCAGCTTGATCCGGGAGTCAGCTGTATCGCATTTCATCAGTTGATCCGGGAGTCAGCGGTATCGCATTTCATCAGTTGATCTGGGAGTCAGCTGTTTCGCATTTCATCAGTTGATCCGGGAGTCAGCTGTATCGCATTTCATCAGCTTGATCCGGGAGTCAGCTGTATCGCATTTCACCAGCTTGATCCGGGAGTCAGCTGTTTCGCATTTCATCAGCTTGATCGTAAGTTGGATGATAATTTGTGTAATTATTGTATTTGAAAATATGAGGATAACCCTCAGATAGCCCAAATCGAAAATACTCAAAACACTATTGTACATTTTATTTTTTAACTTTTATTCGCATTAAACACATTTTGAATAAATCATGATCATATCTACTGGAACAGATCAAGACTTATTTACTTTTAAACAGACACAGGATGTATAATACGAAACAAATTATAATTAAGTCTATCGGAACATGTTCGTGTAGTACAGTCATATCAAACAAAGATTCGCAATTTCCAGATTTTACTAACAAAATATTCATGCGTATTCAAGAATATTGTCTTTGCCTGCTTGTCCCCTGAAAATAATTAAGCACAGCAGGATTCGTTCATCTTAATTGTTCGGATTTCAACTAAAATCGTCCAAGCATGATGTGCCCAGAATAATCAACACTAATTAAAGTTAAACTGGAGTGCTTTTGGTTATATCTACTGCATGGTTTGTACAACATTAAAGCTCCATTTTATCACAGTTCTGCACAGGAAGCAAGCTATTGATGATATCGATAAAAATGATAAACATTTATTTGCAACAACGGGAAGGGACATACTTTGTAAAATGGATTTATGATACACCGATACATTTCCATTCATCAAAACTATCAAATGTGACTTTTTCACGAACCCAGAGCACTTAGTCACAGTTACTGACATCATTGTCTTTGTAGAATATCTTACACTGGATACCGCATACCGGAGAATTTTCGCTGCATTTTAAATTTTCGCCTAACGAAATGAGGGCGAATTTATCATTTCAGCGAACATTTGTTAACAACGTACTATACATAGTAATTAATTGTGAAGGGCGAATTTAATATTGGGCGAATATAGACTTTACTGATGAAGGGCGAAAGTTTGATTGGGCGAAAATATACTTTACTGATGAAGGGCGAAAGTTTGATTGGGCGAAAATGGATTTTAATGGCGAAGGGCGAACGTTTGATTGGGCGAAAAATTCCCGGTTTACAGTATTTCACTATGTTTTCAGTACACATCTTTAATTATGTTTAATGGACATATGGTTGATTCTTGCTATGGTAATCTCAATAGGTTGTTGGATTGATTGACTGAATAGAAAGTCAAAACAAAATGATTCACAGTTAATTACATTCGCTTCAAGATCAACTCATCAACTCATAAAAATTAAAACTATCACAGAACAAATTCTTGATTCTCAATGTCACACTGTCAATGGATTAATGATGTGTGTGTTTGTCAGCAATATATACTCATTCTGACATTGCAATATAACATATAAAGCAGGACACATGGTTCGCGTATGAGATAAATAAAATTTGATCTCAATCAGAACGCACGTTTCGTATATGAGATCAATTAATGAATGAGTTGTTTACAATTTACATTTGTATACTTATGATTTACAATGTAATGTTGCATCAGTCCAAATCATATATAATACTTACTCTTGGCAATGCTAATTTCATGGAAATACTAAGCATGGTTAACGTGCATATGTTTACACAAGATAATGGAATATACTCAGATAACACAAAACATTGATCTAATAAATTGGGCAATCAAGCGGCTATATCCTTCTATTCACAATACTGTAATTTACACTTTATTACATTAACGCAACTTTGAGAATGTTCTGTTAGGTCGTTTATATGTCATCATCAACGTTTGGTATGTTTTGTAAGGTTAAATATCTGGGCCCAGTTGTTCAAAAGATGATTAGCTTAATCACTGTTTAAAGACATTTTACAACCTTTAATAATTCCGTCAATATACAAGGTAAATACTCATTATGTTACACGTATATTTACTCTACCTAATATTTGATATCTGGACAGTTTTAACTCAGTCAATAGTTGTGTTTCAAAGATACACAAAAATTGAAATTTGTGCTAATCACTGATTAAGCTAATCACCCTTTGATATTGTAAAATATTAACACCTCTAACAACTGGGCCCAGCTCCTTAAGGACGCACCTGTTGTAAAGAGCCGACGTGACCTTTAACAGGTTAGTAACATACTTCATTCTCGGGTTGGTGCAAGATTTTATAATTCGTCCTTCATGTTGCAGTTTGTTTGTTAGGTAACCTGCCGCATTCTCAGAGTTAAACATGTTTTGTTAAGGTGTAGAATGTATCTTCAAAATTGCAGATATATTGTAAAATTGTACCCCCAGTAAAGAGACTTTCTGTGATATTTTAACATGTCATCCCAAAAGATGGGACTTGTGTATCTTGTAACTGCAACCACCGTGCATGTTTGACAGGTTATAGAGTAAAACAATGTGTAACAAGCAATACTGAATTGTTCTTTATACTGATCTGCGAGTTAGATATTACTTGTTGACACTAAGTCAATTTTATTGTCATCTGTTGTAGTTCGTATATATGCATGTATGTAATGGATTTATTTTCTATCTTGTTTTGGTTGTTCTGAAAAATGCGTTTAATATTTTACAATATTTCTATAAAAATCAATACGTTTAACCGTCCTTTCGACAAAATGCTGATGGCAATAACAAATTAACATCTTCATATAGGAGGACACATATTCATATGTTTTTGCAACAGTAATGATAAAAGCTCTCACTACAATCTATGGAACATCTTTCTTACACTACAATCACAGGTTTGTATTATATCCATGTAACATCGAAACTCTTACACGCACTTTTAACACAATCATATAGGGAATCATTCAAACATTACATTCAAATATACATACACTCAATTTACGTTGCTGAAAAGTCAGCAATTCATTCATGCTTGTTTACTTATATTCAGTCCCAAAAACAGCAGCTAAACTCTCACGAGGATTGCACTCGAAGCCATATTCCATTTTCTGCACGTGCAAATCCACCCTTTTCCAGTTTCGGAGGCATCTAAAATGAAGCAAAAAACTTAGTAAAAAGAAAGTAGTGATATTTGTACAGACCAGTGTCACCTTTATGAAGGTATATTGAGTTGGTCGACCAGGCTGGTTTCAACAGATTATTTAGGTAAAAATCCAAATAAAATTCTTAATTTAAAACTGTTAGGCAACTAAGGCGAGTTCTGGGTACATGGAGTTTATAAGTATCATATAGGGAAGGATTTCACTTATTGTTTAGTGCATTTAAAAGCTGAATGTCAGTGTTTCGACGTCTCTATCAGACAGGACAATTCAACCTGGATGATAACATTTCAACAATCAGTACTTATCCACGGTATTTGGGCAAAAATAGTAAAGAGTTCCAGTGGCAATGCTCTTAACCACTTGGATCAGTGCTGCTTTACATAGCGACATTTTATCCCTGAAACACCGATTTGTTCCTTACAAATAGACCCTTGATTCCACATCAATTTTGATGACAAGCTTTCGTATATTTTCTTTTTAACAAAAATGAGTCCGGTGTTGAATTACTCGAACAATACCTAAACTATTTTAAACCAATGAGATCCGTCGGTTTTTTTGTACTGATGCGTTCATAAGGAATACGAGTTCGCTCCCTTTCCCTTACCTCTGTCTCTGGTGCCGACTCTAACTTAAAATGCTTCAGAAGATGAACTATGGCCAGTTTGATTTCAAAAACAGCAAATTTTGAAGCAAAACAATGTCTGGGTCCTGCTCCAAATGGTACATACGCATATGTAGGTCTTCTGGCTACTTGTTCAGGGGCAAATCTGCAATTCAATCAAACAAACGGACAATGACAGAGAATACTTATTAAGCTTTGACTTAGCATTAGGACATCGTTATTAATAATATGTGCAAATGGCAATTACACTAGTTTAAGCACATCGGGATATATTCGGTTAGGAGATATTAGAACTGAAAGCACGTTGGTTTGGTAACGTCAGCCACATGTTTTGTTCTCTATTAACCCCCAGAACTTGATGCCACATTTTTTAACCATTTCTCATTTTCAATTGCCCATATGATGCAATGTAGCACATGACCACTCTATGGTATTTTGCTGAATGGTAATTTGCAAGAAATTGATCGGTACATTTGAAACAAAAAACTATTTCAGTGACATTTTCATTCAGTTGAAAATGAACCCGAGCTGAATATTTTGTATGGACAAACTTAAAGTTATAATACCTTTCCGGATCAAATTTATGCGGATCCGCCCAAACCTCTGGATCTCTGTGTAGAGCAAAGATTGGAACAGATACGTCCATGTCACGTGGGATGTGTCGACCGCAAACTGTCACGTCGGACGACGCCCGTCTGTTAAACCTATGAGAACATTTATTATTAATCATAACTAAGCCAAATAGTGATTTCATTGTGTCGTGTGGTATGCTGTATTTCTTCGGACAATGCATCCTGGCTATTATGTTTTTATCTGCATTTTCTGAATAGGTTATGATTCAATATCACATTTTCTCCTAAATTCGACCCATATTCTACGCCCCATGGTAGATTTGCCTATTCCCTATATACACATCTGATAGTTTCTAATAATATCACGCGATATGTTGTATAACAATATCCAACTTTAAAAAGGATACATTGCCCTATTCAATCATAGATACTGTATATTCTATGTACACTACTATCGGTAAGATAAATTCAGGAATTCAATGATATTCTTCTGTAATACTACGCTATTTATCCCGATTTCATAACTATTTCTTTACATACCAAAGTAAATATTTCATGTACGTTATATTCAATATATAATTTGTATTAAGAAATAATTGTTAAAATTAAATAATATTCATTACACAACATTATATAAACATACCTCAACATAGGTGGAAACATTCGGAGCGTCTCGGATACGACCTTATCTAAGTATGGCAAATCCATAATGCTGTCGTAGCACATATCCCCCTGCAAAGACAAGATAACACACCCTTTCATTAACTTTAAATATACAAGTAGTAAAGATTGCAATCCCTCTTTATTTGATCGTCAATTGTATCATCACCATCAAGTTATTTTATTAACATATTTCTTTTTTAACGCACTGCCGAAGCTACGAGATTTATTATCAAACTCATGTCAGTTGTAATTTAAAAATGCATATTAACACTTTTAAAGGTACTAGGGTGTATGTTAAGCCTTATAAATTGACTGTTAGTGAGGTTATGTGTGTTCGACTGTGAGTAGGTGAGCAGGTTTATTAACAAAGTCACATTGAGATAATCACGATTGTGATAACCCATGCTTCTGTTTACTGTGAAGGTGTATATTTCCACGTAATGAACATTTTGCTCCAAGTTGATCATTTATTCAGCTACAACATGAACATTCGACCATATCGATACACCATTAAACATACACTGCATCAATAGTGTCAACACACAAAAAAGTCTACATCTCATAAAGTCTAAAGTGTTCAGCGAAATATTTTACACGCAAAAACTGCGACCTTTACCGTAGTATTTATTCTGTTTTAAAATTCAGATGTGTTACAGGACTGTTCATCATACTATAATGACACGTTAACTACATTGTTTACAATCATTCACCGTTTTTTAAGTCTTAAACACTGTCGTGTGGTCTTCAAGTATGCATTATGATAATTTTTATTAATATATTCCGTACCTTTTTCCACTTAGTTGATAAATGGAATGTTCTATAAGCTAACTAGACTTTAGCAAGTGGACTTTGCCTGGAGGTACACATTGCTAAAACAGTACATATTTATATTATTGACTTAGTACTATCACCACTGCGGTTACAACCAGGACACACGTTGTTTATGTTCTAGGATAGGAGTAAGATATGTGTCTCATTCGTCATAGGAAGTATCTGTATGACTTAATAGAACATGACACATCAGAGTCCAGATTACTTAATATATTTCTATGAAGCAGATCACACTTAATTGGATTGGACAGATTTATAAATGATTTATTAAACAATGTTATAAGACTGTCTGTGTATCAATAAACAGCTTATATAATGTAATACCATTTTGTCATATATTAACAAAGGGAAACCTTGAATATCCAGCCCACTCCGTTTCCAGCAACTATGACCTAATTGTGTCTGAATTATATAGGTAATTTTGTACAGAAAAAGATATCCCTAATATTAATGCTAGCCAGATAGTGGAAGAATAAGAATAATGGTGGCTGGAAAGTGGAACAAAAGAAAAAAAGTGAATAGTGAAACAATCAGAATAATAGGTTCTGGACGGGACATATGATTAATGGTGACTGCATTTTAGAACAATAATAACTATAGAGAAACTGTGAGCGAAATAACAATGATATAACCCTCGCTTCATTTTATCTATGTGCTCAACCTTTGAACGCAGGGAGTATAATACGTCAATCGAAATCCCTTTACACATCATGTATGGTCACTTGCCCTTTAACTTAACAATCTAGCAAACAGTTAAGGTGAAGTTACGCTTGCAAGTTTACCGGAGCAGAAAAGCTTCAAGGGCCTTAAACAAAAGCCCCGGAACATAATTGAATCGCCATTTCCTTTCACATTTAAATGATGACGTACTTTCACTGTACAAAGTTATAAAACAAATCTGACGATAAGTAAGGAGGCGTTGCCCTAACAAGGATTTTTGAGCAGAAATTTAAAGTTTCAAGGGCGATAACTACGGAAATCAGATTGAATCGCAAATTTTCTTCTCCATGCACATCTACATATGATGTACTTTCCAAGTCCCAAATGACAAAAAAGTTTCAACAGAAAGTTAAGAAGGATTTGCACTTACAAGATATCTGTAGAAGAAATTAAAGTTTTAAGGACAATATCTTACTGAAAAATAGTCGAATCGTAATTTCTGTCTTCATGCAAATCTACATACACAAATACGTATGTTGTACTTCCTCTGTGCCAAATCACGAAAATTCCACCAACCAATTAGGACTGTATACAATCACAGAATCTTAAAATCAATCATATCTTACGTTACATCGATAAAATAATGAAACTTGTATAAATGAGATCGTTCAACTGAAAAGACATTTTAAAAACCCGGTTGATAGACATTTATCGTGAGAAATGTACATGACAGATAGGACAGTGTTACAGTTTACATTATGATGTTTACAAAAAATGTATATCTCACGGATTACCTGAGAACCACATTTGCGGTAAGGTAAACACATTATATTATTAAAAATCTTCATTTGATAAATTTGCTTTTTCTATGTACACACTTGAATGAATAATGAATCAACCTGTTATTTAACACATTGACTGTCTGTTATTGGATGATTGTTATCGGGACATATTATGTAATACATATGTGTTTCATGAATAACCACTGCAGTATGGTTTGATATTGGCTTTATATCCAAACAGGATGTAACAGCAGCAGCAGTACCGACAAAACGAAAGTCCCTCCGTTTAACAATAGTAATAACAAAACACATGATATAGAACACTAACCATATATTTATTTCTTTTCCTAATATTTTGTTAAGCATTTATTTTTGTTATGCTGGTAGCCGAAGGCTATTGATAGTGACTAAATATCTGAAGATTTTTATGAAAGTAATCAAGAAAGTCTACTCGCTCAATATTCGAGCATGTGTGAAGGGTTCTTTTTTAAGCAGCTCTATTTTTGCAATTTTCGTAATTTTCGCACATGTATAAATACAATAACTTACTTTACAATCGTTTTATACCTACAAGGATAAGCACAAATTTATACTGTTGGAAAAAATGTGCCCCCACACAGTTTAGTTTACGTCTAATGCACTGCACTGCACGTGTTATGGTACGATTTTAGATCATATCATTTTTGTTGTCTAATTGGTATTCATTTATGCAACGAACGAAGATCTGCTTTCTTATTATTTGTTTTCATTGTGAATGATGGTATCGTGCTATGTCGTAGGCCTGTTGTTAACACTCTGGCCTTCCATGCAGGCGGCCGGGGTTCGATCCCCGAAGTCGCCGTACGCATGGAATATTTAGAGAAAGTGTTTTTCTCCTGCCCACACAACTCCAACAACCCAGATGGAGTATAAAATGGTCTGGGTGGGTGTTGCGGTATCTGTGCTGTAGCATTCAAGTGAGGTGGCACTTTAAATGATACCGTTGGAAGCACGGCCCCACTACAAAACAGAACATAATACATCTCCAGCACACACAGATGCATACACACATAGGGAGATATTAGCCAGGTGGCATAGGACTAGTAGTTAGCGCCTGATAAGGCAGCTCCTGCGAATTCCTCAATATTGTATTGATTAATATATATGCTAATTGTATTGGCTGTATATAATTTTATATCTATGTACTGTAAAGCGCTTTAGAGTGACTTATGTTAGCTAGATAGGGCGCTATATCAAATGTTGTATATTTTATTTATTTTATCTATTTAAGAACGATGTGACCTTGTGAGATATCATGATACTGTCGCTAGGTTACAGTATACCTGTGTGATGTCACGCTCCACTGCCTCCGTCTGTTACCAAACATACCTTGATAATGCTGTTGTTTATCTCGTGTATCAGACGCTCCTGACAGTCAGTGTTTGTGGCGAGATTGTAAGCTAGGAAAGCCAAGGCATTCGCTGTGGTGTCATACCCAGCCATTATAAAGAAGAGAATGTTTGCCGTTATTTCTTCTTCCGTTAGACCTGTACAATTAAAAACCGTATATGATATAACATATATGATATTAATAGCAATTTCAAAAGAATATTTTCATGTGTTGCATCTCCACATTTATTGTCTTTATTTAATAGCTGTACCGTAGAAACATAATACCTTTTTTTGTGATGTTTCATTGTTTCAACCTCTTATCAGCTATAGGATATTAGGATTATTTGAGACAAGTGATAATATATTGCGAAATTAATTCGACAATAACCAAATTTCAATGAAAAGCTTCATTTTTAGGTAATAATTGTATAACTTTGGGAAATAATTGTAAAACTTCATTACATGGACATGAATCGTTTTGTTTGATAATAAGGAAAAACAATGGGTGTTTGGGGGATATTTCCTCTACTTAAAATAGAGAGCAGAGGAGACAGCCATCCTTTTTTTTCGTTTTAAACATAGAAAGCGATCCACGTCTCCGTGAACTATATCGCCCTTCACGCGCCTATGTAAAAGAAATGCCCCCTAACTATTAAACGTATTCCTTCTACATGTTTATGCACGGAAGTCTTATAATATACAAGGGTAATCTTATATGACCACAAGACACGCTACACACACAGCAAGCATCACTTATTGCTCTGTCGGATTTGTTCAAACGTTAAGACATGAAGAAAAACACAATGCCTTTATTAATACGATTGGTAATATTCCACTTGGAAAACTTTATAAGATTATTCGACAAAACAATACATCGCTTGGCTCCATTATCATGTTGTTCTTCGCAATTCATTTCAGAACACAATTTGAACAGAATTTGGCTTGAAACTATCAAAAGAGGTTCGTGTGGTTCGCTGATAAATATAATTTATCGGAACATCTATATCCCGTGTATATATGTTGCTACTACCTGTTAATATGAAATAAAAGGAAATTGGTTAAAGTCAAAATTTTGCGTTTTCCATGCCAATCGGTTAATTATTTAAAATTAACTTCAGTGTTTTCGAAATTGTTGCCTGTTTTGCTGTCTGCAGCGATTCGCGACTTTATCACGTTAACACTGGAGCTATATCGTTATCTAACCGACAAATGGTACCTCTTTCCTTGTTCTTAGCTGAATTGTTGTTGTCATTGTCACTTCTTTCTGTCATGAACTTTAAAAAATCGGATCGAATCTGAAAGCAAATTAGGTAAAAATAAAGATACGTGTATTGGGTTATAATGTTTAAAAAATAGTTTTTTTTTATTATATAATAATAATTTCAAAATATAATAATAGATAAATTTTCAGACATAATTTATCTTAAAACATTCTTAATACGATATGAAAAGGTTGGCATATGTTACTACAATTTACACTTAGAGAAATCATTGTTAAACATTTATGTTATGACAAAGATAAAGTCTAGACCTAGTCTAGATGTTAACCAGATATGTATACATAAACAGTATATAGTTACATAAAGCAAATGTCCCTGTATTGTTACAGAGTTATATATATATATATATTAACCAATTTTAATCAAATACCGATGGTAACCAGATATTTAAACAAACGTTATACATAATTCACACAACCCTGTTTTGTTAGAGAATCATATCTTGAATAACAAATATTTCAAACATATTGATGTTAACCAGACTGGATTTTCTTCTGCCGACCAATAGATTATACCCTGAACGTGATATAGCAGGCATATCGAATAAACTGTTTATAATATTATTTACTCTGTATATAAATACTAACCGGCGCATCTGATTGGTTGATTCTGTCCCTTGTGATGTCTGTGAAAAATTCAATGATGTCCTTAGAACAAGGTGACACGTTGAAATAGTTAAGTACCTTTCTCATCGGAGGACATAATGCTGCCGGAATAAACAGTATAACAGGTATTGTAATACATCGACGTTCATTGGATTAATGATTTGTGTTACATGTTCATGTATATAATCATTTTGTGCAGAAATTAGGCTTCTCTTATTAAACATGTCTGTGCCAGATACATATATATATAAGTGCTTCGGCGATTTATGAAGATCACACAATAAGATAGTCAATGCAAATTATTTGGAATTCGTAACATTTTCATGTATTTTGTCCACTAGATACACAGAGCGTCATAGTGCTATTAAGTTTCATATGAAAACATGTAGGGATAGAGAGAGACACATACATGTAGGGATAGAGAGATACACATACATGAAGGGATAGAGAGAGACACATACATGTAGGGATAGAGAGAGACACATACATGTAGGGATATAGAGAGACACATACATGTAGGGATAGAGAGAGAGAGACACATAGATGTAGGGATACAGAGTGATACATACATGTAGGGATAGAGAGAGACACATACATGAAGTGATAGAGAGAGACACATACATGCAGGGAAAGAGAGAGACGCATACATATAGGGATAGAGAGAGACACATACATGAAGTGATAGAGAGAGACACATACATGTAGGGGTAGGAGAGACACATACATGAAGGGATAAAGAGAGAGACACATAGATGTAGGGAGAGAAAGTGATACATACATGTAGGGATAGAGGGAGACACATACATGAAAACATGTAGGGATAGAGAGAGACACATACATGTAGGGATAGGAGATACACATACATGAAGGGATAAAGAGAGAGACACATAGATGTAGGGAGAGAAAGTGATACATACATGTAGGGATAGAGGGAGACACATACATGTAGGGATAGAGAGTGACACATACGTGTAGTGATAGAGAGAGACACATACATGTAGGGATATAGAGAGACACATACATGTAGGGATAGAGAGTAATACATACATGTAGGGATAGAGAAAGACACATACATGTAGGGATAGAGAGAAGAGAGACACATACATGTAGGGATATAGAGAGACACATACATGTAGGGATAGAGAGTAATACATACATGTAGGGATAGAGAAAGACACATACATGTAGGGATAGAGAGACATACACACATGAAGGGATAGAGGGAGACACACATACATGTAGGTATAGAGAGAGACACATACATGTAGGGATAGGAGATACACATACATGAAGGGATAAAGAGAGAGACACATAGATGTAGGGAGAGAAAGTGATACATACATGTAGGGATAGAGGGAGACACATACATGTAGGGATAGAGAGACATACCCACATGAAGGGATAGAGAGAGACACACATATAAGTAGGTATAGAGAGAGACACATACATGTAGGGATAGGAGAGACACATACATGAAGGGATAAAGAGAGAGACACATAGATGTAGGGATAGAAAGTGATACATACATGTAGGGATAGAGGGAGACACATACATGAAAACATGTAGGGATAGAGAGAGACACATACATGACACATACATGTAGGGATAGAGAGAAGAGAGACACATACATGTAGGGATATAGAGAGACACATACATGTAGGGATAGAGAGTAATACATACATGTAGGGATAGAGAAAGACACATACATGTAGGGATAGAGAGACACACATACATGTAGGGATAGAGAGTGACACATACATGTAGGGATAGAGAGACATACCCACATGAAGGGATAGAGAGAGACACACATATATGTAGGTATAGAGAGAGACACATACATGTAGGGATAGGAGATACACATACATGAAGGGATAAAGAGAGAGACACATAGATGTAGGGATAGAAAGTGATACATACATGTAGGGATAGAGGGAGACACATACATGTAGGGATAGAGAGACATACACACATGAAGGGATAGAGAGAGACACACATATATGTAGGTATAGAGAGAGACCCATACATGTAGGGATAGAAAGAGACACATATTGTAGGGATAGAGAGAGAAACACACCCATGTAGGGATAGAGAGAGAGACACACATACATGTAGGGATAGAGAGAGACACATACATGTAGTGATAGAGAGAGACACATACATGTAGGGATAGAGAGTGATACATCCATGTAGGGATAGAGAGAAACACATACATGTAGGGATAGAGAGACACACATACATGTAGTGATAGAGAGTGATACATACATGTAGGGATAGAGAGAAACACATACATGTAGTGATAGATAAAGACACATACATGTAGGGATAGAGAGAGACACATACATGTAGGGATAGAGAGTGACACATACATGTAGTGATAGAGAGAGACACATACATGTAGGGATAGAGAGTGATACATACATGTAGGGATAGAGAAAGACACATACATGTAGGGATAGAGAGAGACACATACATGTAGGGATAGAGAGTGACACATACATGTAGTGATAGAGAGAGACACATACATGTAGGGATAGAGAGTGATACATACATGTAGGGATAGAGAAAGACACATACATGTAGGGATAGAGAGAGACACATACATGTAGGGATAGAGAGTGACACATACATGTAGGGATAGAGAGAGAAACACATACATGTAGGGATAGAGAGAGACACATGCATGTAGGGATAGAGAGAGACACATACATGTGGGGATAGAGACACATACATTAAGGGATACTGACGTATACAGAGATAGAAGCATAAGTCGGATTAGTGAGATATATAGGGGCTGAGACTATGTAGGAATAGAGACACATATTATGATAGTGATATAAACAAAGTATTAGGAAATTGACACATGTAGGGATTTAGACTGTGTATAGATAGAGACATTCGTAGGGATGGAGACATTTAGGTAAAGATAAATTCGTACGGTCCAAGACACTTGTAACGATAGTGGGTTTAATGTGAATGGTGACAGATGTAGGGACAGAGATATGTGTAGAAATACAGACATTATAGAGGTAGATATATATGTAGATAACGAGACAGCAAATGAGTAGATTTATATGTAGATATAGAAAACTTATAGGGCATAAATATGTTAAATATATGAAGATACTATAGAGGTATATATATAAGAAAATATAGAAACATTGTATGTGTACATATAAATATATATTAGACATATATATGAACAAATAAAGACATTATAGGGATAAATATGTATTTGTAGATATAGAGAGGTTAGAGTATATATCTATATGTAGAAATAGAGGCATTATAAAGGAAGATATATATGTAGAAATAGAGGCATTACAGAGGTTGATATATGCATATAGATATAGAGATATTATAGAAGTAGATAAATGTATATATATATATAGAAACATTATAGAGGTTGATATATGTATATAGGTATAGATACATTTTAACCCTCCAATAATGGGTCAATATCATGAAATGATACATGTTGTAATGAAGGAAACACAGATAATATAACTTATTCATGGGACACACATACCACATATTCCGCCAAGCCGAATACAGCCAGCATTCCCTGCTATCCATGCAACATGAGCTTGTTTTATAAGTACATTTTCTGGATCTTTCGCTGAGTTGACTTTCTGACCAATGACACCCCCCATTAGTATGTCCATTGAAAAGTGACTGCAATGTCTAAAATCGAAAATACACAATGAAATATTATATGTCGGCTCAGCGCATTCAATAACTATTATTATAACATGTTATACTGAATGTCAATCATGATCACAATAGGTCTTTCCACTCTTGTTGTCTACCGTTTTAGTTTTTTCTTTCTTTTATAGTCTCTTAGTCGTCTGAGTATTAAATAATGACAATCCAGCACGAAAAAAACCCCTACTAATAACATTCTGTAGAACACAATACTTACTGCATGAAGTCGAAACTCTGTCCACTCTTTGATGAAATCTTGATGTTTTCGACCATTGTGTCTAAACATTCAGTCAACATTGGACATATCTGTAAATACAATCAACAATGCATTTAAAACTTCGCTAGCGATACCAATGAGGGAACGTCATTGGGAATAAACTTTCTATGGCTATGACGGGCTATCCCAGGGTAAGGCAAAATACGTAAATTATAGATATAAATTATAAATATAAATTATAGATATAAATCATAGATATAAATTATAGATTAATTTATAGATACAAATAAAGATTAAATTATAGATATAAATTATAGATTAAATTATAGATATAAATTAAAGATATAAATTATAGATTAATTTATAGATATAAATTATAGATATAAATTATAGATATAGATTATATATATAGATTATAGATAACTTTGTTAATTACCAACTTATATGAAATTGTTTTTGATGTGTATGCCTTTTCCTGAATAAACATTATTTTTATACAATGAAATTGTACATCATAAGATATTAAAGTTAGTAGTATTTCAGAGTATTATTACTTTTAGTAAAATATCACTGTTTCAATGAGATACTATAATCTCTAATGTAAATATACTTTATCACTGAGGTGAGGTGCTACGTGTTTTACGACTACTCAATGTGTCTTACCTTGACAGTGCAGCATAGTAAATGCATGTATGTGTACATTTATATTGTTACACTAATTAAGAAGCGAGTATTGCACTTTAAGTAACGTTCACATTGACTAATATTGTCCACGTATTAAATATACAATTTTAAGATGACAGGTTCCTAAATCGTTTTCGAAATATCTTATGATAAATACAGAGGTTAAACTTACTACGTACTAATTTATGATAATCGTTTTTATCAAATTCAATTTACTTCCATATTATGTTAAATATCTGAGGTCTACCAAGTTTCTTGAGTTTAGAATAACTAACAATAGTTGTTTAAATATTACTAATTACCATGATTTAAGAAGCACTTACATATTTTATCATATACTCATGATATCAGAGTGTACTTGTATTAGCTTATATTGACTTAACAATGTAACTCATTCATGAAGCAACGTGCTTTATTTCCTTTTACAGCGTCACCTTAATCTGTATCTTTATCTTAACCTTTATCAGCTTCTTATAAATTTGATAAGACTTCGCGATTGCTTAACTAAGTTAGCTCAGTCATATGGCCTAACTTTAAAAGTTAAATATTGATATTTAAATATTGCAGTTTTTGATACCTTCGTGTTTTCAACAGTGGCTGAACCATATATCTCAGTGATCATCCAATTTTCTTGATAAAGAAAATTGCAAACACGTGTCCTGTTTTTGATAAAATGAACAAAAACCTCACTTCTTTATTGATAACTGTATAGTGGGTATATAATGATTGTTAACTTATCATTTCCGTTGAAATATATTGTAAACAACGTTATGATTCCTTAACCGGATCAACTACCTACCTTGTCTATCCTATCCTTTGAAAAAATGGAAGACAACTTCCTGTTAAGAAATCTCCAGTGCGTATTATCAGCAAGGGCCACAGCACATCCGAGAGTCCCGCACATATCAAAAGAGGACTGTCAAGACAAAAGCATAATTTTACAATTAACTGCCTCCTTGTGTTAAAACAAGTGTTTGGTCATTGTTTTTGTAACAAGAACGATTAATAAGACAACGTCTTTTGTCGTATTAAGTGTGTATGTTTTGCCGTTTATTTTTTGACAAAATTATCAATTACTCTTATCCATCACACTATCAAATCAATTGTTGCGTCAAAGAGTAATAAAACGATGAAACTATATAATATTCCGGGATAAATGATGGTGTTATAAAAGAGATAATTCATATAGAGCAATAATGGCGGGATGTATGTCTTTAAGAGTGACATGGAAAGAAACGTTTTTCGCAATATTTCCAAAATTTCATCATGTGATAACACGGATCCATTTTATATGTAGTTATTAAAAGGAAGATCGTGTTTGGCATTCGAAATATACTTGCTATAGTTCTTATTAAAACCGCTGTGACCATTATGGCACAGGAGTAACGTCATTATCATTTTGGCTTACTATTTTCGTCACATAGATACATGATATATCTAACAATTTCCTAACAGCTCCTTGTGTATACAACGGCAAAAAGAAAGGCGATGACTATTTCTTCTGTTTTGATTTCATCTTTCATATTCTCTGACAACCAAAAGTATTGACATAAACAATTGATAATCTTTTGTTTCAATGTGACTATCTTGTAAAGTGGCAAAGTTGCAATCATTAACACAAATTTTACATTTTCTGTATAAGTTTGTTAAACGAGTAAAATATAACATACCGCTCTATTGATGAACACATCTGATCTGTTGATGCAGATTTCTCTGATCATCTCGTGGTCAGCTATTAACGTCACTGGGTTGTGTCCATGGTATATTCTGTAGGTTAAAGGCCAATATACAATTGGTTAGGATAATTGTTTGGATGGTAGATTGATGTTAATAGTGAATACTTTTCAAAACTAAGAAATATCATAAAAGCCCCTGATCGCATGGAAATAAGTAATATTTGAAAATAAAATCTTTAAATAGTAACGTAGACCTTGAGCCTGACCTTTGGGCTTCTCGAAAAAAATACTTGAAGTATTTTCATGCGGCCCTTGTATAAATTTGCATTACTGTATTTTATAACAAATGAAGTTGCTGGACCGATGTCACTAAATTGGATGAGAACATTCTATATATAGCAACGTCGCCATTGACATTGACCTTGAGAACACAGACTCATTCAAATTCTTCTCGTGCTTGGCCTTTCATTAAAGCTTGATCGAAATCCGTCAAGGAATGTCAAGAAAAGCCGCAAGAGCGAAGACAGTAAATCGGGACGGGGCTTGGCGGAATGTCACGAGCACTATATGCAGTAGTTCAATTCACCTTAAATGTTGATGCATGTAACTCAGGAAACTTAAATGTGTTGGTTATATCTATCTCATACCTCTCTGGTTATAGATAACTCACCCGATAAATTTTCCATACGTTGATACAAGCTGCAAATCTGTCCAGGCTAAACCCTAGAAAATATGACATTAGTTATGAAAAATAATTCTATTATGCCGAATTGTTATATGAATAACAGAATATTAGCAATACCATGGATTTTCAATGGTGCATTTAAGAAAGTTTTTTCAATATTTTCCTACTAGTCTTTGGACCAAAAGTGTAATAGTCTACGACTGGTCTTATTGCGACCAATAGTGACCAATTTCTTTTTGATGAATGAACATGAACATATATTACTTGTTGTAAATGTGATATAATAGAACCATTTTACTCCAAATTAGACAAAACATGATTGATGCCGAACAAAGAGCCAACGACATATTCAACTGTAACGAACTGTATTGCATTTCACGCCGACGATAAAAAGTTAGCTGTAACGACCTTTATTACAACTTGTGCCATTGACACAGAGCCATCTGTAAAGACCTCTATTGTAATTCGTACCGACGATTAGACCTTTCTCATTTTGGGGTAGACCTAGCACGGAGCAAGGAGACAGAGACCCAGACAAGTAAATACAGGGATCATTTCAAAAATAATTTTAATGGAACGAAGCGTATAGGGTATGTCAGAGTGTGTACACACGCATGCACCTGACTACAGGTAAGCGAACAGGTAACATCATATGGCGACACAGTTAAGAAATTATGTTACCGGTAGCCACAGCCGTTATAGTCTTTAGTGGCCGTGGTAATTGTGTTTGTGTTCAGTATAAACCGTAATTTAAAAACAAAACGTTTCTAAAAAATTACCCCACTAAGGCGAGATCAGCAAAGAATGGTTTATCAGTTGTACACGTAATGAAAATCAGGGGATGATACTGTTGGTAAGGAGCACTAAAATATCGTTCTTAAGTGTTTTGTCGCAAGCAGGGGACAGCAATCCTTAATACAGATGGAATGAAAAATAATTTTGAGATGTTCCCTGATCTTACTAGTCTCGGTGTCTGTCTCTGGCACCGTGGTAGGTCTGCCTCAAAATGAGAAATGACTACTCAAAGTGATCTGTAACGGCCTCTATTACAATCCGTACCGATGATACAGAGCCATGTGTAACGACTTCCATTACAAGTTATGCCGACGACACACAGTAAGCTGTAACGATCTCTGTTACAACTCGTGCCAACGAAGGACAGCCATGTGTTACAACTTCTTTTACAGTTTATGCCGACGACAAAGAGTGAGCTGTAACGACCACTATTCGTGCCGACCACACAGAGCCAGATGACACGATTTCAATTACAATACGTGCGGACGACACATATATGAGCTAAAACGACCTCTATAACAAATCCTGCCGACGACACGAGTAATCTTTAACGACCTCTATAACAATCCTGTCGACGACACAGAGCGAGCTGTTTCCACCTCTATGACAAATCCTGTCGTTGACAAGAGTGAGCTATAACGACCTCTGTAACAAATAATGCTGATGACACGAGTGAGCTATATCGACCTCTATAACAAATAATGCTGATGACACGAGTGAGCTATAACGACCTTTATAACAATAAATGCTGATGACACAAGTGAGCTATCACGACCTCTATAGCAAATCCTGTCGTTGACACGAGTGAGCTATAACGACCTTTATAACAAATAATGCCGATGACACGAGTGAGCTATAACGACCTTTATAACAAATAATGCTGATGACACGAGTGAGCAATAACGACCTATATAACAAATACTGCTGATGAAACGAGTGAGATATAACGACATATATAACAAATAATGCTGATGACACGAGTGAGCTATAACGACCTTTATAACAAATCCTGTCGTTGACACGAGTGAGCTATAACGACCTTTATAACAAATAATGCTGATGACACGAGTGAGATATAACGACCTCTATAGCAAATAATGCTGATGACACGGGTGAGATATAACGACCTTTATAACAAATACAACTGATGACACGAGTGAGATATAACTACAGCTATAACAATTCGTGCCGTTGACACAGGGCGAGCTGTTTCCACCTATATAACAATTCCTGCCGACGACACAGAGCCAGCTGTAACGACCTCTATAACAATTCCTGCCGACGACACAGAGCCAGCTATATCGACCTTTATAACAAATCCTGCCGACGGCACTGGGCCGGCTAGAACGACCTCTATAACAATTCCTGCCGACGACACTGGGCCAGCTGTAACGACCTCTATAACAAATCCTGCCGACGACAGAGAGCCAGCTATAACGACCTTTATAACAAATCCTGCCGACGACACTGGGCCAGCTGTACCGACCTCTTTAACAATTCGTGCCGACGACACTGGGCCAGATGTAACGACCTCTATAATAATTCGTGCCGACGACACTGGGCCTCTATTACAATTCTAGCCTAATACAAAGAGCCAACTATAACGCCTTCCATTTTAATACGTGCCCCGAGGTTCAGCTTAAATGACCTTTATTACAATATGTTGCGATGACCGGCGTTCAGCTGTAATGACCTCAATTGCAATTCTTCTGGTGAGAGGAGGTCAGCTTATTAAACTCTGTAGCGATGGGATTGGTTTAATATTTTACGATTATTTTTTTCAAAATATTTTAGAGGTCACTTTTAAAAAAATATATAGAATGGTATCACCTAGCGTAAATGTCGACTACCGTCTCCACTAATACACACTCTATCATTATCATCTATCGAGGGGAAAAGAATCAACATTCCTGTATAACATATCACAAGCAGTCCCTCTTTTGTTACTGTTTCAACAGTGGCGTCAAATTTCAGGGGAGTTCATAACCCTTATTCATTCATACGAACATGACACCTGAGTCGTCTGTTGTGTGAAGCATGGTTAACTTAACGTCGAGTAACGTTATATTGCCTTAGAAATATTGATTATTTTGCAGACGTAGCAATTATAGATAAACAATTTATAACACCTCCAAGGATCAACTGATACCTAAAATATGTGGAAGTATGTGTTTGAAATATACACTCGTGTTCTGTGTGACGTTAATAAAGCTGATAGAAAGTGAAGTAAATAGTTCGTCAGAATGATACTTTTTTTTTTTTGTCCTAGTTCTGTTGTATTCGATAACAAATTGTATATAGCACAAGCAATCAATCCAGCCTGACACGTTTTACAGAGCGATGTGTGAAAAGAATAAATGAATAACTGTGTGTGACATTTAAAAATGTTCATACTAAATCATTTATCACCAGATATTGATAAACTGTTAAATAATTTCTGCTTTCGAAAAAATAGCGAAAAGTTAAAAGTAAATACCAAATGAAACTTCAGTGCAAAATAAAGCAGGCCATAAAGTATGTTAATTTATCTATTTTGCTAGTTTGAAACGTTTTTTTAGTAAAAAGGTTAAAAAAGAAAACGTTCCAATATTTAGGACAAGGTGAATGCACATTTTAATTCCGTATATTAAAGAGTGAGACAGATAAGTCAACCGATTTCTCTTAGCCGGGCTCTAGTAGACTAATGACTTACGTCTTTCTTGTAAGTAGGTAAAATACCAAATATAAATTTGGGTTTTGGTCCTGGAATTCCGAGCTTTGAGAACAAACTGTGTTTCCATTTGCTGTACCTGCAATGACATATAAAATTAAACTAGTTGAAATATTAAACTGTACCACAATTGAGAAACAGATACTTATTAGTTAAATTTTTGCAACCTATAACTTGTTGTAATTGAGACACATCATAGGCACGTATGGTACCAACAGTTATATATGTATTTAGGAATAGGACTCCTGAATAAAGACATATGAGTGATCTGGGAAACCGTGCATTCCTACTGAGTATCTTAAGTGATCGTGTGAGGCAACGTTTATAATGTCCCTGCATAATCGGACACTTTCTTTATTGTTCTCTTCTATGGGAACCTTGGGGAAAATATTTTTACTGCTTAAATTCAAATCGTCAGATATCTTACACTTCTGTGTCTCTGTTAGCACACCTAATGTGTGTATCAAATAGCTAGCGTGTGGCCCTGTACGACATGGGCCGTTAAAATATATTATATAATACCACTTGATATCACTTGTCTGTTAGAAAAGAAAAAAAAAGGCAAACCGACTTGTATATCATTGATCAAAGCGTGCATATCACGACAACCTTTTGTTTGTTTGTTTGTGCGAGATTTACTATAGCTAATGTTGTAAATAAAGGTACCACTTTCTCCACTGGTAGACCACCTTCAAATGCTAAACACAGTGTATGTCACCCAACGATGCCGCATTGTCCAACCACAACTGAAGTAAGAGTCTAAGCTAGCACTGTCACTTGCGCTAAGCCAGCTTGAAGTGCTGAACATAGTCGCATGACACCAAGATCGTCACACTAAACTGAAACCCTGCTTGTCATAAATGCCTAGTGAGGAAAAACCGAGTCTAAAAAAACCCATACAGATCCCGAAAAATGCAATGGTGACAGCCAATCATTGTTTTTGTAATATGTGTCAGAAATAAATGGATACAGAGAAGAAGGCTTCTTTTATTATGCCTGGGTCGTGTGCTAATTGCCTCTCGAACATCACGAATCAGGTTGTTTAAGTCTTCCTGGATCGAGAGGGGATTTGTTCATATGGCCTGTACCGGTGCGATATTTCATATTGTGGGAAATGCTTTTTGATAACATCAAAATAGATCTCGTTTTTGATAACGGTTAAGAATTTTTATTTTGATTCTATTTTAGTTCTCGTTTAACAATTCAGAATCAGTAATAAAAGTTTACACATGTTTACACATAAAGTATGGTGTAATGACTTAAACTGTGGGAAATTCCCTCAGCCTTTTAAATCTTTGTTATGCCCGCTGCTTATGTATGTTCATAACAATACGTTTATAATGTAACTATACATACATGTTCATTTACATATCGTTTTTATAAAGTAAGAGGTATGCTTCGTTAAAGGTACGATGTTATGTAAATATACTTTCATGATACAATCAAGTGGTGGCTGGAGTGAAACCAGCGCAGAAAACCAAAATTACACGCTCTCCCAAGATGTGATATTTCCGTGTATTGTATTTAAAAGTTATGATTACCTCCTACAGCAAATGGTAAAATGTGCTAAATGAGAGTCAATTAAAGGTGAAGAGGATGGATGTTATGCAGCTAAATCGAACATGTCGCGTATTTGTGAGAATACAGAATAGTCTGGGAGACTAGTAAAATGCTGAAATAATGAACGATAGTAGTCTAGGACATCTCTGTAGATCCCTTTTTTCTTTCTTTATCTATGTAAGCCGCCTTATTGGATCGTGGAGGAATTTTTCGGAGGGCTAATTGTAGATTAATTTATGCATAACAACAATGAATCAAGATTTTAAGTGTTTAATCAACCTTCTTTTGAATGTTAACACAGATGGTGATACGTCATATACATGATTCATGAACATGGTTGATTGTTTGTAAATTAAAAGGCCCTTTATAAAAATGTTGTTATGACAATTGATTATCGGTTAATTATATTGCTGGTTGATTGTTTGTAATTTAAAGGTGCCTTTATAAAGAAACACACCTGTTCCGGGTGATTGATATCATCGCTATTGAAAAGAATTCATTGTGGCGACGTTGTATGTGATCGACTTTTAAATCCTCATCAGCGACGCTATTGAATGGTCTATTGGTCTTTTATGTGTAGATTGTAAGACATGTCATTCTTTTGAATTGTATTTAAAAACCATAAACTATTCAGATGTTTTGTATATTGTATATACAATGCAATTTTATCACCATTTGTTATGCTTAAATTAAACTACAATTAGCCCTCCGAAAAATCCCTCCAGAATCCAAGATGGCGGCATACATGGATAACGAGAGATGTCCTAGACTACTAACGATCATAAACATAACTGAATGTTTTCAAAATCAAGCAATAGTTTTATCATCCAATGATCGGTAACTAATTAAAAGACACACGCTCTGATAGTAACATGATGTTTGGCGTCCGATGGTACAGGTGTCTTTTTGACCCATATACTAACGGCAACAAGTAGGTCGCGTCTCTATGCAATACGAGGTAATGAACTCTTCAAGCGATAATGCCATACGTCATGTTTAAGTAGGATATTTCCATGCTAAATTTTCAATCTGTAGATATCAAGGGTGTTGTAAAGCACTACAGTTTTGTTTGAACAATGTCTGTGGCTTGAATGGCTCGGTTTTTCTGTTTGATCAAGGGACAACGTCCTTCTATTTTAGTAGTTAGTAAAAACAACGAGGGATTCCGTTTGAGCATCATATTCATCGATGCCAGATACACTGTCCGAACATTTAAGTTTGTGTTTGCAAGGAGACCTAATTATATAAAGTACTAAATCTTAGTTTGTGATCACACGGAAACCTTGTTAGTCCGGACATTTTAGTTTGTGTTTACGATAGTTTTCAGTCGGGATACTTTGGTTTATGTCTTTTTTTAACAAAAAAGAAGAAAAGGGACTGATGAAAGCTAATTAACAATCGTAAGAGGTTATCATAACTGTGAAGTATTGCCTACCGTGTTTTTCTTACCTTTATTTAATTTTGTTTATCACATGGTATCTACTGTTCTAATGATTTGGCGGTAATACGGATCAGGCCTTCATCTGGAATGTTTAATATCGGTTGCAACATTTGTCAGACCTCCAAACGTCTACTAGAGTATAACAATGTTCCATTATATTATTTTATTTAAAAAAAAAACCACAACAGTGAAACGTAACACTTTCAGGGTCGAATTTGTGATATATTGTATGAAAACAGTAGCTGCAAGGGTTTCTTTGGAAGATCACCATTGTGTTTGAAAAGGATTTTGTGTTTGAAAAGGATTTTAAGAAAGATAAAATATTCTGCTTTAAATACAGTGTACGTTACCGTGGGAATACATACGACTAAGGATATACGGGTAAATGATTGCTATTAAAACGCTGAGAAAAAAAATCTAATATAACATCCAGCGTGATAGCCCAACTGACCTATTGTGAATTGTTTGAACATGCCACACAATCACGATCTTGAAACCGTACAACTGACTGACATTAAAAGCGGTTGTTTGACTATATCCTAACGTGACGTTTGGTCATTAAATTGTGTCAAATAAAATGGAGTTTGATTTGTTTGGTTGAATTACCAGAAAGTGTTGGAGGGAGCGAACCCTAGGTCTCGGATTGAGGTCAATACTGACATGGGTGACGAAAATTCCGATCGGGACGGTGAAGTTGTTCAAATTTCGCCGGTGGCTGCTGTTTTGGAAAGAACAAAATCAGAATGAACACAACAAAAGAAATCCCGTGTTCCGATCATACAGACAGGTTGTGGTATAATTAAGCTAAGATTAAGAAAAAGGAACAATATACAGAACGAAACCATGTCTGATATATTCAAAATATATAAAAGAAAGCCGAATAATTAGCTATTTGTAGTGATGAGTTGGCTATAGCGCACACAGTAGCATACACAGTTATGAGAGTTACAGTAGGTAGTGTGAATCCATGCGCGAAACTATTCCCTATGGTGCATATAATGTGTACAAAAGGGGTTTCCCTAGGCGATTGACCTTCATTCACAGTGTCGCGAGTGACCAGCAAGATACAATTCTACGAACCGGGTCTATATGTGAAATGAATCTATTCATCTTATAGATACGAGTATTACATGTAACTGATTTGTAAGAGAGTTAATGTTCCTTGTTTACCTGAATGCGACGTTAAATAAAGTTTTTTGTATCTTGTATCTTGTATGGTGACATTGTCCCTAAATATGATGTACAATGTCACAATTAACTTATTGAATTTGGTTGTTACAAAAGGCATACACCCGTTAACAAAGGACAAACATCCAAGCGATTTCAATTCAAACTATAACAAAAGAGAATTACCCCAAACAAATTAAACAATAGATCCTTATGAACATCAATAACACATGCGCCCAGTCACTATCTATTCAAACTGTAACAAAAGAAAACTACCCCATACAATTTAAACAAAGGCTCCTTTGTTCTTAAACAATAGTAATTTCTATGACGTCATCGGGTATCATCCCAAGAGGGAGGAAATCCTTCGGAGGATATATTTTCCCCATGTTAATCCAATGGAGAAATGTGTGCCAGAACCACAACTTTCCTTACTTCTAACACCTACCATGGCACTTCAACGACATCAACACCTGGCAACACCAACCACCTAATTTTATTGACAACAACACATGTACAGTACCTACCACGACACTATAACGACAACAACACATGTAGAGTAGCTACCACGGCACTATAACGACAGAAACACATGTACAGTAGCTACCACGACACTATAACGACAGCAACACATGTACAGTAGCTACCACGACACTATAACGACATAAACACCTGTACAGTACCTTCCAGGACACTATAACGACAGCAACAAATGTACAGTATTTACCACGACACTATAACGACAGCAACACATGTACAGTACCTACCACGACACTAAAACGACAGCAACACCTGTACAGTACCTACAACGACACTATAGCGACAGCATCACATGTACAGTACCTACCACGACACTATAACGACAGCAACACATGTACAGTAGCTACCACGACACTATAACGACATAAACA